GCAGCCTGCAGACAACACGGCAACTTGCGGGTTATTAAAGCGCAGCGTGCAAAGCCAGGGCCAGCCAAGCCATCAGGGCATGAAGGAGCTCAGGATTGGGGTTTGGCTTCCAAGGGAAACCAAAGGCACACTTGTGCAAAGGCTGCTGCATCAGCACGTGCCTATTGAGGGGGGATGAGGACAGAAAAAAACCCTGTTGGACTTCAAGGCTACTTATGCAGCCAGGTCAGGACTGTCTCTGAGTTGGAAGTATCCCACGAGTTTCTCTCATTTAAACTCTTCCAGAATACGTAACACTGGAAGAAAACACTCTAAAACACCCAAAATGTTTGCTAAATTCTGAGAGATATTATCTTCTTTTTTTTAAAAAAAAAAATCAAGATCTTAGAGGAAGTGTCACTCCTAATCTCACTACTAAAATGTACAGTTCATCCAACGGAAAAAACCATTTTTTTTTTGGTAGGAAGGAGTCCTATTTAATATTTGTCTTCAGGCTTGTGAGTTTAGAGCTAGAAGCACCACTCAAGAGGGGCAGCTCTTGCCTGGGTGGTGGATGGTCCCTCCATCTGTCTCCTTAGGAGAGATCTGTCCCAACTGATTCCTTCCATGTCATTAGTTTTAGTATTAATTAATACTATTAACTGGTAACAGGAGACATCCAGAAGCTCCAGTCAGAAACAGGGGAACACTGGGCTGGGCATAATAGCGGGTTTTTTTGCTAGAAAGATTTAGAGCTGAAAAAAACAAACAACAACTTCAGGAACGGAGGAGAGGAGGGTAGAGAAATGGGACCAAAGGCTATAAATCAGCAACTTCCACCTGTCTCAGATACCTCTCTCTCCTAGGTGCTCTTCAAGTAGTTTACCAAGGTTTGGTTTAGGGATGTCGCTGGTAACAGCTCCATCCAAACCAGTCATCAGGACTCACTTCACAGGAACTGGGAACAGGATGCCAATATGCAAAATCCATGGAGACGTGATTGTGGATGCTAACTCTGAAATAGAGAGCCTGTAGAAATTACAGGCCGCATAGCTTTCTCAGCTCAGCCTGAGAAAGTAGCCTGGGAATTCATAAGGAGGATTTAAAACAATCCTCAAAGACAGAAAACAGCCTTGCAGGTGTTGTTGTCTGTCTCTTGTTTTCTTTGCAGGAGAAGGTCGAGGGGTGGTGTGCCCCACTGACCAATGATGGTGTTGTAGTGGTTTGCTAACCAATAAGAGTTTCCTTTCTGTACTTTCCACGTATCAGTCTATAAAACAGAGCTGAAGTAATAAACTAGGAGACATTCTCCTGATCGACTCCCTAGAGAATCTGTCGTTCGTTCTCGCCGTTCCTAATAGAGCGACACATGATGAGCACCCCAAATTCTGGGTAGGATTTAGTTGCCCAAACAGAAGTGTCTGAGGTGAGGATCCGTAACATCTGCATGGGACCCACAGATCTGCCACAGGAGACTGGAGAAAGCAGAATGGGAGACTAGAGAAGATATCCACGATCTCCTGTCTGCTTCTCTCCAGGAAACTGAACCCGTCCACCTTGTACAAGCTGCTAGGCTCTAACTCTAAAATATGCATTGATTTGTAATATTAGGGCTGTTTTTGGAGCATGGCTTCCTCTTAAAGCAATGCCAGCACTGAAGTAAACCACTGAAATTGATCCTCGAAATCAGGCCCCAGTAACATTCTGACCATCTTTATTCACAACAAGCCCTGACCATTTTATCAGATGTTCCCTGAAGCCCAAGCCATCCTTTATGACCAGTACCAAACCAAGAGCAGGGGCATCCCAACAGCACCCTGAAATCAGAGCAGACACAGCAAAGGATACATGTCCTTGGGTTGTGGCCCAAGGTTTGGAAGGATTTGTGCTCCTAAGCCATTCAAACATCCTTGAAAAAACTCTGCTGTATTTATTTTTCTTCAAGGATCAACATGTTTTCTGAAAAGCAGGGAACGACAAAATAGCAGGTGCATTGCAAAAAGCTTTTGTGAAGAGGAAAATTTATGCCAGGATGTGCAGTTTGCAAAACACTATGTTTAGTAGCTGCATAATAGCAGCATTTTCTGGCAGTTAAACATCACGTTCCTTTCTCAAAGGATCCTAAAGCATTTTACAAACACTTCCAACATATGGCCAAGTGTAAAACAGCACCGGGAAAAAAAAAAAAAAAAGAAAATCCTGTTTGCAGCCTTCTCCCTGATTTCTGTAACCAGCTCCTGTGATCTGGTGTCCTCTCCCTGGATGCCAAGAGGGGATCAGGGCTGTGCTGCTGCAATAGGTTTTTGAGCTGCTGCTGAAGACCACCACGTGCCAAACTCAGCTCTGCCACACTCCTGAGCATCGATAATTCAGGCTCAAACCCATGGTTTTTGAGTTCTCAGGCAGAACCCAACCCTGTGACACCAAAACTGAGGAGTGTCACCACTGACAGCAGCAATGGGCTGACAGACCCCTGGGAGCAGCTGTTTCTCACACAGCAAACGTGGCTCTGCTCTGCCAGTGCCACCTCCTGGGGACAGTTTGCTGGCATCACAGTGAAACTTCCCTCAGTCATGCAAGCTTTAAGGACAACACGGATTTAAGTCATAATCCAGCCCAGGGGATTTACTCATGAAGAGCAAGCACACACCTACACCCTGCTCAGCCACGGAATTCTGCAGGGAAATGTGGGAAAACCAGAATGTAACTGCTCAGTGTGCAGTCACCATGCCTGCCAAAGTAGACATTTTCAGCTTTCCAGAAGATCTCTAAGAGTTGCCAGCTGTCAAACCTTGTGTTTTTTATCTCATCTAACACATGACAGCTACAGTAGCAAGGAGCCCCAGGCACAGTGTAGAAACAATACTTCTGTGCTGGGTTTGAAAATAAAATAAAAAAAATTAAAAATAAAAAGAAGTTATGAAAGACACCTTTGGATAGGACACTCTTTGCTGAGATCTGGGATTCTACTTGAAGGTCCCACACACAATCACTGGCTTTTTTTGCAAGATCAGTTGAGTTTACTCTCAGATAGTCTCCTAAAGACTTAACTCATGTTTAAGTCATTACTAGAGGAAGACTTGCTCAGAGGCACAGATGACATCTTGTCTTTTTGTCCGTAATTAAGATGTACAAAATGGGGTTGATTCACCCTAAATGGGCAGAATAAAGTGATGCCCACACACAAAAACGTTATTCAGTCTCCTGCCTTCCAAGCACCAGAACCAGGGCTCAGACAGCACCAAACTCTGAATTCTGCTCATCTTGTGCTCACTTTCCACATTATGATAAACGAAGAAGTCCTAATGACCTAGTCATGGACCTAAACATTGACATCTTTGCTGCATTTGGCCCCAAAATAACTCTCCTCTTGGGCCATTCAAGCATTCCAAGGTTTTGCATTGTCTTCTAAGAGGAACATCTTTGCAAGCTCCAACCACACAGCACAGCAACTGGGATTTGCTAAATTGAAATTTATGACCTGCATGCAATAATTAAAATAAGTGGGTGTAAGTCTGGCATGCTGGCAAGAGGCAGCAACACAGCTGTTAGTTATAAACTTTTCTTTAAAAAAGGATGTTTCATGAGCCTCATCAGAAACATTCTTCACTCTTTCACATAGACAGGAATAAAATTTACACATTAGACATTCCCTTTTGTGATTTAATCCCTGCCCCACACAAAACACTTTTGATCTTGAAGCTGCCAATGCAAACTTTTAATAGAGTTGGCAGATGGAAGCCTTGGATGAGATGAGTGGCAGAGACCCAGAACTCTCCACACGCCACTTCCACCCAAAACAGGGCTCCTCGAGCCCACATCCCAGCCCAAGGCAAACACAAATCTTCCCTCTTCTCCCAGCACAGCAGAGCTCCCACACTGCCAACGAGCCACTGCCTGGGCTATTAGCAAAGTGTCCCCAAATTAACGTTGCTAATTTGAGTGCTCAGCTGGGCGAGGAGCCTGGATTCCTCATGGGAAGCTGCTGGCACATCCCTGCAGGGAGGCTGAAGGTGGCACTAGGGTTTTGTGGCAGCCAGAATGGGACATGATAACAGCCTTATTCCAGTTACAGAACCATAAAATCATTTCAGTTAGAAAAGCCCTCTAAGATCAAAGTCCAACCAATTCCCAGCACTGCCAAGATCACCGCTGAGTGCCACATCCACACATTTAAGGACATTTAATTAATCTTTAGATCATACAAAAGATCACCACACATGAACTGCACCAATTCCATGGATGTTCTGGAGTATCCCAGAGCAGTGCTGCTCAAGGGCTGGGAAGAAACACACAGGGTCCCAAGGCTGGTGGTGGGGAGGGCAGCCTGGTCCAGCAGGTCCCCAAGCAAGAGGTGACACTGGAGACATGGGGTCACTGCTGTGCTCCCACACACCTCCCTGAGCATCCTCTCACTGCCCATCCCACCCCAGCCAGGACAGAACTATTGGAAGCCAGGCAGGCACAGCTGTAAATCAGGATTATCTGGAGCCACCATGGTTAACAGCAGTGCTGATTCACACGGGAAATTAAAGCCAGTGCCTTGGGGCTGAAGCACCAGAGTGAGAATTATAAAAAAAAAAAAAAAAAAAAAATTAAAAAAAGATGTAGGAACAAAATTCTCTCTCACTTCCAGTACTTCTCAGGTCTCTGAGGCTTGTGATCAGGTGAAAACTTTGGTGCAAGGCTCACAGAAATCTGTCCAGTTTCTGTCAACTTTTATATTCAGAGCCTTACTATTTCACAGCTGTGCATGATGTCTTTGCACATGTCTAACAGAGTAAGACACAGGAAAAATAACTGGAGAAATCCCTGCTGGGTCAGAACCAGCCCCCAGAAAACACCAACCAAGAAATAAGTCCACATGTAAAAAGTGTTTTATACAAACATCCAACTTGTGACCTTCCATGGTTATGAATTATAGCTAAGGCCTTTCTGGAAAAAGTTTAACATAAGCTGCTAAACATGGCATGATATTTATTCAACACAGGTTCCACAAGCAAAGGAAAAGTATCTTTTACCTTGAATACTTCCATTGGAAGAGGAAAATTTGCTGCATCATTAAGGGATTTTTCCAGAGCGCATTTCCACTCAGTTATAGTCTTCAGAGAACAGATATCTAAACGGACAACAGTAACAAAAAGGAAAGAAGAACAACAAAACCAAGAGGTGACTGTTTGGAGATCAAACATTTTTGGAAGACTAAAGTTCTTAAGTCATATGAATGAACAGAGCAAGTGAAATGAACAGTGTCTATATTCCAAGCTGTGCAGCTTGGATAAATTCAACACAAAGCAACTAGAAGGGGCACACAGGAGGAAGATTGTGTTTTGTATCTTGGAGTAAAACCCAGAAAAATTCACATCCTTCAAATACTGCCAAAGGAATGAGAACCATATTAACTCATTACTTGAAAACAGTGAAAAAAAATCTCCTTTGATTTTCATTTCTCGAAATACCTGATGTTTCCTAGTTTGAGGAGCCTCAGGTCTTTAGCCAATTAGTCATATTTGAACAAAACAAAAACTGTCATTATTAAGGCACCCGTTCATCAGAAAGTGTTTGGTTTTGGGTGTTTTTTTTTAATTGCAGAGCTGGGGTGGGTGTGGGAAGAAACATTTCAGCTAAATCTCTACCCAGACACATTTTCTGGTGTCACACTCAAACCAGAGCATCACACCAGAGCAAGGACTTACATTCATGAATTTTCATCATTACACTTTTAGGCAACATCTTTGTGCAGCTTCACATTGCTTCCAGTGAGTTTCTTTACACAGGTTTAATATTATTAAATCATGATATTAACAAGCCCTTTATGGTTCAGTGCAGTGAAATGCCTATGAATCATCAAAGGGAACAATGTAGGAAACAATACTGTGATGAGTAACATTATATTGGATTTACTCCTGCCCTAGAAAACACATTGTTATCTTGCACGTAACAAGTTACTGCAGAACATTCATATCAACGCCTCAAAGAGAGAAGATAGGTAGATAGATTGCAACAATAATTAAAATGGAAATGAACATTTGCTCAATAATAAACTTGAACCTTGGTACAGAGTGAACAGTATGAAGCTTTTCTTTGGCCAGTCTGGCTTCCCACATTCACATCAAAGTTCAATTTGGCCCAATTTGTATTTAAATCCTGTACATCTAATACCCATATATATTTACTAGCTAGCAGAAGATTTACTGCTGTATCTTACAATTCTGAAGGAGAGAATAAAAAATATGCGTAAAAAAAAAAAAGGAATTGGCAAGCACTGTTTCCACCTAGCAGTGATGGTACAAGAGAATTTTATGCTCTGAACTCAACAGATTTAAGACCTTATCAAAACAGGATTTGCAGAATCACTCACTGAAGTGGATGTATTTATACTTCCACTATATCAAATCTCACTACTTCAGAACAGACACCAAGGATATGCATATGAATTTAAACACACTCGAAGGGGAATGTTAACCTTTCAGGGCAGTATTTTTAATTCCTCAGCTGTCTGGTTATTAACGGGAATACAGATTTCAAGTCTTCGTTTACAGCGTGTGCGGCGGGCACAAGTGTTAAGAAGTGCACTCTTTACCTAATTGTTCATTGTTTTATAGTTTTGCTGCCCCACTTCTCCCTTGCTTGCAGGAATTCTGATCAGCATGAAAGGCAGGGAGACACACAACTCACTTTATTTCTTTTTTTGTTTCATTTACAGGGGAATACTTAACACAATATGATTTTACCCCACATTGCAGCCAGCCCATTGTTTCAAGTCTGAGTTCAGAACTGATACTTCCCTTCTGGAAACAGACCCTCACTTTCTACTGTGATGCCAGTGAAGCACAGGAAAGATGAAATTGGTATTTTGGGCAACTCTGGCCACGTTTTGGGCAACTTTGGCCCAAATCAGCGAAAACAAGCAGTAACTTCTCTGGGCAGTGTCAACAAAATACAAGACACAGAGGCAACTCCAGTGGTTTCAAGGTCCAGCAAGGAATATCATGTACACATTTAATTAGTGGCGTCTTGCTTATGCTGGCAAGTGTATGGACACTAAATTGCACGGTTAAAAGAGCATAAAGCATTTTACTTAAGTGCCAGGGCTGCAGGTAATTGAACAAAGTGTACTGTGTCAATTTGTATTAGGGTTCACAAGTAGTGAGCAATTAAAATGACTGGCAATTTGTCTTTAAATAAAAAGCAGCATAAAATGGGATGATCTTCTCCTGCATAAACAGCTGAGTTCAGGCCATCAGTGGCTCTGTGTCAAGCAGCCTGTGCCAATTTGCACTAGCAAGAAGGTTTATTCCAGACTCAGATATACATCTGAAGGGAAAAATAAGCTATAACCACTTTGCTTCAGTTAAATGGGCTTGTGAGATATACAGAGTCTGTCTGGAGAAGCCAGCTGGGATGCTGTTTCATAGAATCACTGAATGGTTTGGGTTGGAAGGGACCTTACACATCAGAGGACCCTCTTTCACATTAAGTGGGTGTTAGGATGTGGGTGGCTTCAGAAAAGAGACCCCTCCACCCAAAATATTGTTTGGGTCCATGTGATCTCCTTTATCTGAGATGCTCTGCATCTTGAAAGACTGAGATGGAAGTGAAACCTTGCAGGTGCCAGAGGTGGATCAACAGGAAAAGGTCACACCCCAGACACAGAGGGAAATAAAACTCAGTGTGGGTACGCAGCATCCAAGTCAAGGGTAGGGAAAATACTGTCTCAAGCTGCAGAAGTGATGTATAACACCCTAGTCTGGTAGCAAGGGGACACACAGCCTGATCTGGGAGCAGCTACATGTCCTCAGCAACTCTTCGGAGGAGATTTTTAACAGCTCTGATACACAGTCTAAGGCTGCTCCCTTTGTCAATGCAGGAGTCGCCTAAACTGCCTTCAGATGTTCAAAATTTAGGAAACCAGATGTGTGTTCATCAGTTTCAACCCTTGTGAGTAAAAAAAATACGCTCTAAAAGATGTCATTTCATCTTACCTATGTTAGTTTTGTCTTGGCACCCTCTTTTCCCTACTCATTACAAAGAGAAAGCAGTTTCTCATGCAGAACTGTCTTTTGATGTCTGCACCGTGGCAGGTCAATCTAATCCCTAATGTGTGAAAAACAAGGTACTGCCCACAGAATCTCTCCTTCCTAAGAAAGTCCACACTAGGTTTTTCACACAACAGACGTCTTCCTAGTCCAAATACCCTTCCCTAAAGAAGATGATACCGGGGATGTATCCCTGACACAGTCTCCAGGCCTCAGGTCCTTATGAGACTTCATTTTTTGAATTTGTGGTTTAATAGCCTCATCTCTGAGCTTCTTTAGAGCTCTCTGCTGCCAGCATCTCATCCTCACAACTCACTACTGCTTCCCTGACTGCTCCAGGATTCCTTTTGAAGAGACTTTAATCTGAAGCAGATCCCCTAAGACCAGCCACTTGGGGTTTTTTTCTGTCTTCCTCCTCTCAATTAATGTCTCATATACTTCATTAATCCATTGTGCCTCATGGACATGTTGGGTGGTTGGACAAGAAGATCATAAACATTTTTTTCCAATCTTGATGATTCTGTGACTCCATGTAAGGTGGACACCAAATGATCAGGAGTGGAACAACCATCATTCCTGCCTCCAGAAACTCCTCAGATTTCCACTCCTGACTGGCTATTCCCTGCAGTGCAGAGCCTGACAGCTGGGGCCAGAAGGGGATCAATGAAAGATCAGGACAAAATTTGGGCAAAAACAGCAGAATTCAGACCTGAAGGCTCTTTTCTCAAAGAACTCCTACAAGGTTCAACTTTAGGAGATGTAAAGTAATGAAGATCTATTTAAGTTAATATAAATCAGGAAGAAGATCTGGGCATTGAATCCATTCATAACAATGTTGACTAAAAACTGAATGACCAGAGAAATGTATGGAGAGGAAACAGCTATCAGATGGAAACAGGTAAGAAAGAGAGACAGAAATTTAAAAGTTAAATGAAGGAGAGGGGAGAAAAAAAAGTAAAAAACTCCAGCAAATAAAGAGTCCAGTAACAAATTTAGAGAAAGGCAGCTGAAAAAAATGAAAATAAAGGTATGAGGGGTAGGGAATCCACAGAGAAGATGTACAACTGGGTAACAGGAGGAAAGAGTAGAAAGCAAATGGAATGAACAAAGAGAAAGAACAAATCTCCTCTGGGCCATATTCACTAAACCCATATAGGCCAAGAGGGTTCAGAGATGGTCAATGAAAAAGTTGTTTCTCTGAAACGCAAAGACTCTGTAAAATAACAGAGTGGGTGATATTCATGCTCTCCAGCATTCACATCTAAATTAGAGGTGATGGGGAACATTGATTCCTACCTACCAGTGAAGAAAAACACAATCTTCCAAAAAACACTCAAGACCTAAGTCCCACACAAACTTGTGAACACAAGAATTGAACATATCGGGGTCAACTCTCCTCATTAGGTGTGAGGCACAGAAGCCACATCAGAAACACCTTCCCAGGGGCGGGGAATTTAATATTCATGGAAAAATTTCAGCTATAGCACAAAGAAAACGAGGCACAGACCTGGACAGATTGTTAACCTACACAGGAGAAGGTGGATCAATCCGTGACCCCAGACTGGCTTAACTGCAGTCCCAATCCCTTTCCATTCAAACTGGTTTGAACCCTAAACTCAACCCTAAAAAGCTTCTTCTCCACGTTGTAATCTCCTGGTGTTTCATATGGTCTGACAGACTTGCCAAGACTTCAAATGAATTTATTTAATGAACAATACAGTTCACCTGACCCCCTCTGAACCCAAATTAGATGGATCTCACCTCCCGTCTGTGCCACAGCCAGAAACTATTGTCAAAGCAATGTGAATGCTGGAAAAGGACAAACGTGCTGTACAAGTATCTCAAAACATCAGTGAAAGCCACAAAGGGAGACAATATTTTAAGGAGGCTCTTTACCTGCAGGTGGGTCCATTCTGTATTTATTCTCTTGACACCAACCGACTGGTCGAAGTCTGCAATCCAAGTAAAACAACCACTGGTCATAGGATTCAGTCTCCTCCAATCCCACATAGCGAAGGCGTAATCTTCCTCCAACATTTTCAACCACACTAACTATCCAGTACTGAAAGGGATTCTGGGAATCCTGCAGCTCTATTAAGGAATCAACTGTAATGAGGTCTACAGGGTTTTTTCCTCGCAGAGGCTGTTTGAATAGAAGCAAAACTCCTTATTTTAAACTTTATTTGAAGACTTCTCAAGGAAACAGATGACAGCAGAAGATTATTTTTGTTTTTCACACCATCATCCAAGCGATCAGCAAACAGTCTGTTCTTCTTCTATTTTACCCAATGTCTTCCAAGTGCAAATTCAGAAGTAAAACAGAAAACAACAGTTGTGCTAATTTCTCAACTGACATCATCAACAACAACAACAACAAAAAAAGAATAATAAAAGGTGGAACAGCTTGTAAGGCACATCCATTTAGGATGCTCCTGAACTACTCAAAGCCCAGTTGTATTGGAGGATTTCAAACAAATTCTCATTGATTGCAGCTGATAAGAACCAACCACAGGACTGGACCCTAATATTTACCTAAAAGGTGACTACTTTGTGCATGACCCAGAAATTTCCCTCTGTGTACTCATCTCTTTCCCCACGATCAGCTTTATCTCATTCCTACTGGCATGGAGAGCAAATTATCACCCCCAGCCATGCATGTATGAGTCTGTGGGGGTTATCTCAAAGCTCAAAGCCCACAGGAAGTTTGGATCCAAGCCCAAGGCACACAGGATTTGTTGGGTCAAGCCACCATGCCCAAGAAATCCCAGTGACTGAGGTTATTTGATTCCACATGGTTATTTTCTGGGATCCCAGTTCTGCAGCCATTTACACATGTGTGTAACTTTCCACCTGCAAGCACAGGTATTAAAAAACCATGAGATGCTCTGCAGAACAACCCCTTTGGGGCTCAGTGTTTTTGTGTTGTGGCTGTGAGCATTCCCTGTGTTCTCAAGCTTTAACATAATGGTTAGATTTCTTATTTTTTATTAAATACAAGTTTAAATTCTTATGCAATGTCTCAGTTCCAGGGTTTTAAGAGCAGCATTAAAATGACCCCAGGATTTGGAAGCATTGGTCCCCAAAGGAGATGCTAAGCAAAGGCAAAATCCATTAAAAACAAAGACTATTTTTTTCCTGTGTGTTTGTCCCACTTTTACTTAATTAAACCATGTAAGTATCTCACATTACATTTTAAAATATTAATTCTGCAAATCAAGAGTCAGTCCAGGATGGTTCTTTCTAACAGTGGCTACAAAACAAAATAAGGAGAAAGCCTTATTTTTCAAAAAGCTATTTTTCCTACTGAATATTGAAAATATTCAAATTTTGAGATGCAACTGATTTTCATACATCTGTCTTAATCTAAAAAAGCAGGCAAGAGAATGAGAATATGGTACAAAAAATGCAATTAAAATTAACTAAAAGCTTATCACATGTACAATTTTTAACACCTTTATGATTAACAGATATTTCTCAGAACAATATATTTGCCATAATAAGGTACTTTTCTAGAGTGCAAGCTGCAAGCATCTGCATAATCTCTTCAAATATTATTTCACAGCAAAATGCAGTGTCAGAATTTAATAATACAACAGAAATCCACTTAAACGTGTATTTTTCCCCCTTTCATACAACTGCTTCATTGCAACAAAATATTCTTTAATATGAAACGATGGTGTAATGATTTAACTTATTATAATAAATCCCTGGCTGTATCAAAGTGAATATTGCTTCCCTGATTTGTGTGCTAAATTTTAAGCCAATGGGTTGTCACTTACCCCATGAGAACTGAATGGCTAGGATTAATAATCGGCTTGCATGAAATATTAACATTTACCATAATGCAAGAACCCTTCACATGCGTAGCTGGCATGTAAAAAAAAGATTTAAAAAGTAGCACTACATATTGATTTAGCAGTCTAACAACAATCTGCAGCACTCACGAACAGCAAATCTGCCAACAGGGGCCAACATACATTGCACGACACAGACAGCACTGAGCACATAAAACACCAGAGAAGGGTCAGAAACTGTTTCAAGCCAACACAATGTTTTCTCTCTCTGCTTTTCTGCCTGGGGCTGCCTCTCTTCCCTGCCTGCAGAAAGGGGAGGTTTGGCACACACCAGAGATGGGGGCTGGACACCATCAGATTGCTGCATATGCCGCCTGGGAGTAGTCCAGGAATGGATTATTTGGGGTCTGAAAAGGATGTTCATCCCTCAGACCTGGGGAGGGGGAAATCCCTAATGGGTCAATATTAGTTCTCCCTGCCAGGTATATTCATACTGCTTGGGCATGTGGAAAAAGGATGCAGCTGTGGGATGGTGGAAGTGACCAGGGACAAAAAGATCAAAAATGGTGCTTGGATGCACACTGGCTTCCCACAAGCCAATGTGAGCACTTTCATGGAAGTAAATTCCTGTATTCCCTCACTTTCAGACTAAATACAGAGGGACAAAGAACGAGGGGCTCCTGCAGGACCATCTGTCTCCTATCCAAATGCCCCCACAGCATCCACGTGAGAGCAGAGCAGGCCCTGCAGCAAAAGCTGCCCATTATTTCAAGGTGAACCTGTGGGATTTTATCCAGGTGTGAAAGCACCCTGAGGCTGTCCCAGGTGCAAGTTACCCTGTGGACCTGGGCTGAATGGCTGCATCTGAAAAATAAACCCTTCTGCTCTTCTGAGGCCACCTCACCCAACAACTTCCCCACTAAATGAGACTGCTGGATTTAGGTGGAGGGAATGTCCTTGAGGGAGCACTTCCCATATAAAGATAAACCTGACAGAGCTCCCCATCAACCTATTAAACCCCCTCTCCAACCTGTCCAACAGAACTACAGAATGGTTTGGGCTGGAAGGGACCTTAAAGATCACCCTGACCTTAAAGATCAGGGGGTTCCAACCCCCTGCCATGGGCAGGGACACCTTCCACTAGACCAGTTTTCTCCAAGCCTCATCCAGCCTGCCTTTGAACACTTCCAGGGATGGGGCAGAGATGGATTGGCAGCTCAGGTCACCAGTTTGATGGATCTAATGGGGCACTGAAGGGCTGAGTTCTCCCTTCTGTGGATCCCCTCCATGCCCTCCTTCCCCCACCAGCCCTCTTTTGAGCACCCATTTTTATCTAAAGAACTAAAAGGCAAAACAAACACCCTGTGACTGGGTCAGAAGCAGAGCCAGCAGAGTCCAGGCACTGCTGCCACAGATTTTGGGGCAGGGCTGGGTCAGGTCTCAGGGCTGGCACACAGACACTGCAAGCACACAGCCCTGCGGGCCAGGAGCACACACACCGAGGAGGAGGAACTGCAATCTAATACATACACCTTCCAGCAAATTCGCAGGGGCCGTCCTGGCACCGGTCAGATCCTGGATGAGAAACTCTGTCCAGTCCATGTATTTCTCCTTGATTGCTGGGTAAGGGGAAGGAAGAAAAGAATTGCTTAGCACAGCAGACTGCAGCGACTTGCCACGTGTGTGTCACACAGTGGACCTGGTGTATTTATTACAAAGAAACTCTTCATTATTAGAGGGATGAGGCACTGGCACAGGTTGCCCAGAGAAGCTGTGGCTGCACCATCCCTGGAAGTGTCCAAGGCCAGGCTGGACAGGGCTTGGAGCAACCTGGGATAGTGGAAGGTATCCCTGCCCATGGCAGGGGGTGGAATGGGATGATCCTTAACCATAGTGTGATTCAATCTTTCTAGAAACTTCTCCTCCTCGGGATTTACCAGCTCAAAAGTTTTGGATGCAAGTGCGACTCAGACGAGGAAAAAAGCTGGTTTGTTGTCCAGTTCTTTGGGCAAGCTGTGCACACAGTTAAATCCCAAAAAATGGGAAGGTGCTGTTCCACTGTAGCCACTGACAGTGATTTACAACATCGTGGCTTATCATCCCCATCTCTCCCGTTCAGAATTGGCCACTGCTTGTGCAACCACTCGTTTCCTGCTTATCACCTGGGCTCAGATGTGATTTATAAAGTCTCTTTGTATGTACACTAATGACCTCTGGGAAAAAAATAAGCTGCGTAAACTTTCAATTCCTTGACAGCAGACCAGAAACTCCAGGTGCTTTTCCAACAAAGTAGAAAAATCAACCCTGAGAACATCATATATCAGCTGCTGAGTCAATAGACTAGCAAGAAGACTTAAAATCTTTCCTTTATCAAGAACTTCTCTTGCATCTAGAAAAAAAATGAGTAATTTCTGAGGTAAACACTCTGAACCAGTGTTACTTTAGGACATATATGCGGTTTTATAAGATTTGAACTGAAATATATAAATTTTGCCTCTAGGATTCACATTCTGGGTCAGCTCTGGTTAAAATCAGTGGACACATAAAGGCAATAATTCAGCAAATCTCAGCTTCAGAGAAAGAGATGCCTCTTCAAATGCACTGTGCAGTTCAATCAGAAATCCAGAGATTAGACTTTAATTCTACCTGCCTGTAAATGAGAATTAAAATACATCTGAAACTTTGTTTTCTCCCCAAAATAATCTTACTTATATGTGAGAGAATCATCAGGAATGCAGTTATGTCACTACCTTAGAAACACCTAGAGAAGGGAAGAAATCACAAGCATTTGAAAATTTAAACATTTCCTGCAAATAAACAGCTAAATATGTTGTTTAAAGACCATTACCCCACAGTAATCCATAGGATTGGGCATGGATAAAGACACAAGTCATGCCCAGTACACCTTACCTCAACCTCATTTCTGATCTGTTCTCCTTCCCCAAAAGCCAGTTCGCCAAGTTTGAGCTATACAACCAGTTTAAATATCTAAGTTACTTTAAATGTGCATTTAAATGTATTTAAAATTATCAAACCTTGCACTTCTGGACTTGAGCCTCCACAAAATAGTGTCTGAACTTGCCTGGAACCACTCTAAGTCTTTTGCAGCCCTGATTTTGCATGATTTCCAGGAGATTTATAACCTTTGCATCATTTAAGATGAAAGAACAGCCTGGGAAGAAATGGTTTAGATACAATACTTTCTGTCTCAACACTCCTGCTGTGTACACCTCATCAGTTTCTGTCCACCTACCTCAGGATAAAGGAAACAAGCTGAATTTTTGGCATCAGGGAGAGGACAGTAATTGTGGTAATGAAAGAGGCTAGAGTGCCTCTAGCTTAGACTTCTGCCTCTCCCTGAGAACAGCACTGGGTGCAGCACAGAAAGGTGCAAGTTGAACTCGATTTTGGCTCATTCCCACAAAGTTGTCAGCCAAATTTCTGAATGCCAGAGCTTCACTACCAAGGAATGACAAATGTGATAAAAAGCACACAGTTTGAACTTTCAAAGCTGGCAGGAGTGGGGCGGGGGAAGACAGGGGGGAGAATAGGATTTTCAAAGTTGACAACAGATTAACAGATTTCAGGGGCTTCCACTTCCAGATGCCCAACTGGAGATGTCATAACGGTGCCTGATTCACAGATCTGGCTGTCTGTCAGTCAGTCTCCCTTCCACTGCCTTTCAGAGAGTAAAAAAAAAAATCCCCTGTCCTTTTTAAAAGACTTGCACCTCACAGTTTGACATCTAAATAAGCTCCTCTCCACATTCATATCTGGATTAGAGGTTTCCAAAGTCTGAAAGTACCAAGGTGACCTCTGTTTTCAGACTAAACAGGCTCAGCTGAAAGAAAGCCTGAGCTATTCTCAGTTTCTAGGTGGTTTCAGAACCATCCTTCCCATACAAATCTAATTTCTAGGGTTTTCCTCTATTTTATTCTGCTTTTGTGGCATAGACAAAACAACTCTGAAAACCTCTGAGAGACAGTAAATTGCACTGGAAGTTGTAGGAACAGGGATTTGTACCTTCCTCTGTGCTTGTAGAGCACAATCAGCCTTCTCAGTTTTACAGTTCAAGTCACCACAATGCAAATATTAATTTTTAGTAGTAATGAGGTGAATCTGAATGATCATGTTATCTGCAAAAGCCTTTGAGGACCAAGCAAAATGTTAAACAAATATATCCAAACTAAGGAAAATCTGCTGGGTAAATGAGAATAGCTGTCAGTGCAATGCATGGGTGCCCAACCTGTGCATCCCCCTCCAGAAATGCTGGTGCTCCTCTGGCATATCAGACTCGGCACCTGGGGACTGAAGCAGTGAACTTTCAATCACTTTTCCCCATTTTCCCTCATTAGCTACAGGAAAAGGCTCTACTGAACCTCTCCTACTGCTGGACAGGCTGTGAGAACTCTGAATTTTTTTGCAGCTGGCTGGCCAGCTGGTGGGAAGAGAAGGTGGCCAGGATAAAGAATCCTGCTCCATGGGGACCTAAACTCCATTAGGATTCCTGTTTTCAAAACATTTTTCCCTGCCTTAAATAAATTCAGTGAGTCAGGAGTGGTCCATGGGTTTCAGAGAGCCATGCTTTCTTCACCTTTCAATAGATCCATTTTCCCAGAAGACCCCTGTGAACTTCCCCTGTATTTCTATTGCAGACTGAGTTCATTCAGGACTAACAGCACAGAGGAAAATCCATCTGAATCCAGACCACCACAGAAACACCTGAGAAAGGTCCCACATTTCCCTCCCCAGTTCCTGAGGAGCAGCTCTAGTGATGCACCAGTTCCCAGCAATGGGCTGGGGAAGGCTGAGCCTCTCCCAGCAGACCTCAGTGAAATTACCCACACAAAGTAAAAACCAGGTCCCTGCAGCTCACTGCCTCCTTCCATGAAAAAAAATAGTTACTTCAGAGATCACCTTCTAGTTGGCAAATATTACAGCAAATTCTTAAGTGAGAAAGAAAAAGGACTTTTCTAACATTAAAACTCAGGTTAGAAAATTGAGTGCCCCTTCCAGAGACCTGAACTCCACCCAAAAATGGATCATATCCAATATCCCTCAAATTCTTCCCACTTTTCTCTACTTGATTCACCTTGCCTACAATGTCTCTGACTCCCATTCCTCCCTCCCCTTCTGACCCAATGCCATTTCCTCACTTTTATTCCTTGGTCTCATTTTCCCAAGCTGTGTCTTGAGACTCCAGGCTGCAGCTGGACCTGGCACCACCTGAGGAGCAGGGGCTGCTGCCAGCCTGGCCAAGGCACCATTAGGATTTATCATCAGGTTTTCCCTATCAGCAGCTCAAACCCAGCCCTTTCCCCTTGCTCTGTGCGTGCTGACCATGAAAACCATTCCAAGAGCAGCTGGAAATGCTGGAGCAATGCACACCCCGTCCCCTCCAATCCCCCGAACATGTGCCCGAGAGCCAGGACAGCAGCTTCATTCCCTGCAACCCTGTAAATCTCTGTGCCCTGCCTCAGCCTCAGCACACAATGGGTTCAGATTTATCTGCCTCTCTAGAGAAATAAGAGATTAAAAGCACATTCGCAGTTCCATGACAGCACACAGGCACTCCATTCAATGAATATGAGATGCTATTATCACATTAGCAACTCTTGGGATTTTATCTAGTTTTCTAGTAGCTGTTTTGCTGAGAGCTACTCCTCTCAGGTCATGAGTTTACATGGAAATTCTCTTTTCTTTTTTTTTTTTCTTTTTTTTTTTTTAATATTTTTTTAATATACATATATTTTTTCTTTTTTTAATATATATTTTTTTTTTTTTTTTTTTTTTTTTTCCTAGAGCAGGACACTGCAAAGTGCAGGAGAAACCTTCAAATCTGAAAGACCGACAACGGAAAGAACGTGGCTGTTTTTTTACTTTTCATGACTGTTTTTTCCCCCAAGGCACCCACTTGATTGGCATAAACAAGACTCAGAGATCTGAACTGGTAAAATAAAGGAATGGTAGCATAAATAACTTACAGGCATATAGCACCTGAAAATAAGCTACTCCTTGGAAACACCTCAGCATGCCCCATGGATATATGTGTCCAACAAGCAATAATATCCAATTATGCTAATTTTTGTCCATACCTAGAAAAAAAATTGACCAAAAAACAATAAAACATGCTTCATGTTGGGTCACTTTTTTTTTAATAACCCAGGATCACCAGCAACCTGTCGACACCTCTACTGGAGAATCCCCATTGGAACCCATCAACCTCTAAACAGCAGAGTTTTAATTTTCTCATATGCTAAGAACAGCATCTTAAACAGCTTTATAAAATGGTTTAAGATCTTTCAGATTAATCTGCTAAGTGACAACACTCTCAGTGTGGAAACTATTTTTATCATTAAAAATTTAACACTTTCCTAGGACTGGAATGAACAAAAATAGTTAACAAGGGGAATTTATAGCTGGGCAGGACCCAGGCAATTCTTCATCCACTGGCAAATAAAGTAAAACATCAGGATCGCATTAAAAGACAAATTTTCTAAACCATTCAGGATGTTCAAAATTTAATATAGATATATAAATATACATATATATATGTGTGTATATATATATATCTATATATTAGATACAAAAATCATATATATATTTAAGACACATTAAA